GTAACATCTTCAGTGCACTGAAGATGTTACCTAGCCGGGTAATGAAACATTTGCAAGAAAACAACCAAGCTGAGAACCCCAAGGATTCCACAAGACCCTGATGCTTGGAAAATTGAAGGCAATTTAAAAGACAACAGAAGAATAGGTGGCTAGACACTGTCACTGATCATACAAACAGGAGTTTACAAGAAATCAAACAAGTGGTTTTGGACAGACAATCCTGAAGAAATTATGTCTATCAGGTCACAAAGAGCTGGAAATAGCTGAACCACAACATTATGACTATCTCCTCTAAAGAACAAATTTGTATTCCCTCTAAAAATACTGTCTTCTTGATCAGCTGAAAAGTGTATTTTCCAAACAATTTGAGGGTATTTGTACTGTACAAAGTACTGTACTCATTACAGGTAGTCCTCAACTTACAACGGTAATTGGGACTGGAATTTCCATTGCTAAGCAATGCTGTCATAAAGCGTGATGCTGTATGACCACATTGCTTAACAATGGCAATCCCGACATTCCCTGTTGCTGTCATTAACCAAATTCTGCTGGTAGTTAACTGAGGACCCACCCCAATCCAAGCCTTTCCTGGCTTGGTCCATCCCAGCCCCAGGCCTTGGTAAGCCTTTTCAACTTCCCCCACCCCATCTCTGCTGTTTTGGCTGCCCTGCACCCTGCCTTTTGGGGCAGCAAGCACCCCCAGAACCATGCAGCTCTGAGGCTGCTTGCCATGCCACGGCTCAGAATCTTTGTGGCTCGCCATGGCTCTGGGGCTGCAAGAAGCCCCTGAGCTGCAGCACAACATGAAGCTGCAGCCGCCTCTAGAAGCCTCAGCTGCCCCAGCCTGCCCCAGCAGCGCAGCACAAAGCCGCAGGGCCCCAGGAAGCCCCAGCCACGCCAGCCCAATCCCACTCGCAGTCACCCTCACCACCCTGCACTGTGAGGCCCCTGCCACCCTGCACTTTGGCACCCCAGCTGACCTTCACTGTCTTCTTGCTCCCACTGCTGATGAGGCATGCCCGCTCTGGCCCTTTGCAAGGCAGCTGCTGGGCATGTGAGGCCATCTTCCCCAGGTCTTATGAGGAAATCGCTGTATGCAACCTTGGGAAGAAAGCCTTGTACAGCCAGCAGCTGCCTCGTGAAGGGCCAGACTTGGCATGCTTGGTCAGCAGTGGGAACAAGAAGGCGGCAAAGATCAGCTAGCATGGCAGGGGCCGGGGAGTGCCGGGTGTCCAAAGGGCATAGGTGAGGGGAGATAGGCGGGTGGGGGAGAGTTGAAGTGCTCCTGTGGCCATAAGTGTGGGCGGGCTGCCAAGTGCCCAAATTTTGATCACATGACTGGGGGCACTGCAATGGCTGTAACTTTGGGGACTGGTCTCAAGTCCCTTTGTTCAGCACCACTGTAAGTTTAAACGATCGCTGAACAAATGGTCGTAAGTCGAGGACTACCTGTATTACAATTCCTTTTTCTTTCTGTCTGGGAGATTGAAAATGTAACTCTTATATTACATTTTGGGGCTTAATAACATAGCATTTAAGAACAATGTCAAGCAAATTCACAAGCCTTTTTTTTACAAGCTAATTCATTGGTGATAAAATTATTCATTGGAGTGCAATATCCATCCTCAGCAATTAATTCTTTATCATTTATCCTCATATTTCCTCATGTTATCTTTCATGACATACAGAGTAATAAATGGGTTTCATAAGATCTGCCTGAGTGCCTGAGGACGCTACTAACATGTTTGTTTGAATCTAAGAGTTCTAAAGTGTGAGGCAGATTTTTCTTCAACCATACTTATATGACATATAACAGGTCATGGCTCATTCCTAGATTTAACCTTTTAGAAATTGGAGCTATGTTAGTGATCTACCCATCTTGTGAGTTGTAGTGTATATTGAGGGTTCCTGGTTGTCTATTAATTGCTGCTGTTGTAGTTTTAATTAATAATAATAATAATTTTTAAAATGTGTATGCAAAATATAAGTTTATATTTATTAAATGTATATATAATTGTAACTGAATTTGGGTTTTTAAAATAATAATAATAATAATAATAATAATTTTTAAAATGTGTATGCAAAATATAAGTTTATATTTATTAAATGTATATATAATTGTAACTGAATTTGGGTTTTTAAAATAATAATAATAATAATAATAATAATTATTATTATTATTATTATTATTATTATT